TTTTTGCCAAAAAGAAGCTGTACTAACAGTAAAAACAACCAAGTCTTCTGTATTGCCCTTTTATGTAAGGCAAGCTATGTACACACAGTCTCAGTAAATCAAATGTACATTCCAGCAAAAAAAATAAAATAAAATTCAGGGAAGCCAGCCTACATTTAATTTTCTCTACCCACTTAATAAAAGCAGCTACATTCCAATATAAGCTGTGAGTACATTCTATTTCTATTAAGTATTTATAAGGTAATGAAAGGAAAATGTATCCCAAAATATTTTTATTCGAATTATACCCAGTCCATATAAAAAATGGTCATACATCTAACAAGCATGTCTTTTTACTTGAAATAAAGAGAGGAAATTGGTTTCATCAAATTCTAATTAATGATGGCAGTGAATGGCAAGACTCCCAGCATTTCAAAATTACTTCTGCCTTTAAATATTTGGTTGCTAAATAATTTGCTTCTTGTGACCAAGTGATAGTTTTTTCAGCAGTTAATAATCAAGGAAATTGCTGAAAATTTAATATTTGGAAGCATAAAGGAGAAATGTTATCCTTTTGAGGGGCATAAAATTGACATCTCATGCTGAAAAATAAGTCTTAACCCCTTCCTGACGGGTTACGCCATGAGGCATCAAAACAAACCGCTTGATCTGTGGAGTGCGGCTGTACACCACAGCGGTGCCAAAGCGCTACAATCCAGTGATTTGGCTTGATGTACCGAACTCCCGTGCATTTTTAGTTTTCTCATCAAGGGGTTAAATATATGGATACTATCCATTGCTCTAAACTTGTATAAAGTACAAAATACCATATAGCATATATAAAATGTCTTGCAGCAAGCCAATACACTTGTGTAGTGTTCTATACCCCCCTTAAAAGGGAGTAACAGATCTGAGCATGCACCATTTTGGTTATCTGAACATAATCTTATAAAATACACATTTTCTTCAAATTACCTTTTCATTAGCTATAACTGTGATCTTCCCTGCTGAAGTGTCGCAAGTGACACAAAATAAATCTGGAAATGGTGAATAACATTTGGTGATCAGTGCTTCTATCTACATGTAATTAACCCATTCGCCACACGTGGCAAGAATAGATGCCATACCCACTTTGATACACGTTTATTTATTGTATATACACATAGATGGCTCCACAAGTTTTTAATCACCAAATAGCCAGTTATCAAGAACTACCTATTTCACCTGTTTACCTTTTTCCTTCACTTTAGGAAAGGGTTTTTTGTATCATTTCATAGTCAAAAATATTCTAATGACAATTCAATAAGCATAACATCATTAACAATAATAATAGTATCAAAAACAATGGTATTAGTTTTCCCGCCAGTTCAATGAATGGGAAAATCAGGGTTGGTAACTAGGGTCTACCGATAGACTCCTTGCCGGCTGAGCACATGTGGAGCCATCTGTATGTAACAAAATTCACCAAAAACTACAGGGGACCGAACATAATTCCATGGCGAATGGGTTAAGCCAATGTCAGCAGGTTTATGTACTGACCCATTTAGATTTTAATATGTTTTGTGACATACACATGTGCTCAGCCAGCAAGGAGTCTATCAGTTGGCCCTAGTGACTGATCCTGATTTCCCCATTTTTTGATATGGTGGGGAAATGTGTTTTTCTTTCCAATACTATTAATACTGACATTGTTGTCATTTTTATTGAGATTATAATTATTAAATTGTTGTTCGAATATTAATAACATCGAAGATAATAAAATAATAGAAGTGAAGCTTTCAAAAAATGGAGGAAAAGGGTAAACAGATGAGATAGGCAAGACTAACAGCTGACTTCTTGGTGATTAAGCACTTGTAGAGCCATCTATGTGTAAAGACAATAAACTTTTATTACAGTGGGCATGACACTGTAGTCTTGCCACCTGCTAAATTAGTTTAAAGTCCAATTAGATAATAAATGACAAACTCAAAAGTTAAAGTGGGTCCCTTAACTTTGCCAAAATAAGGGCATGTCTGATGAACAAAAATTTTTAGGTTTTTAGATATTGCAGTAAGATGGTTACTTTCATTATACCCTAACCTAACCTTGATCCCAGCTGATACTGTACTGATTCAGAGCTGTGTGACTGGGCAGGATGCAAATCTAAACCTTGTGATGGCAAAGCAAGTACACTTAACTCAAGAATATACCACCATATACACATTTTGTTTAGAATCAACTCCACACACAAAACATGGAAGTGGGGTAACAGTAACAGAGTAGAATAGTAGGTGTAGACCAACATTTCTTACTAAGGGAGTAGCATGCTATGTGCGAAACATTTTCTATTGGCTGTTTCTGTTTCTTATAATACAAATAATACAAATACAAATAACTAAACAGCAACTGAGAAAGGATGAAAATATAAGTTTTGATTGTCCAATATTACTTTCTTTGGAGTCAGATCAAATAGGGGGAATTAGTTAGAAAATGCAAACTAGGAAATGTAATAGATGATACAGTCAGTATTAGCTTCTAATTCTTCTAGCATTTTGTATGGCAACACCTTCAAATTTTAGTTGGAAGGTTTGACCCTCAAAACTTAACAATTGGGCTGACACAAAATGAAAGATCTCTCAACTAAACTTCATGTCACCTATCTCACTTCAGCAAGGAGGATCCCAAATAAGCTGTATTCACAAAAGAAAATATGAAGCAATATCAATAAACAATAACCTTCTAAATTAATGTACACTAGAGCCAATATTGATCAACAAACTAATATCAACCAAAACATATGCCATTAATTCTACCCACTGTATAGCTGAGGTGGACTGAGTATATCTTCACCTCAAACCTCAAAATTCTCTGATAAACTTTGAACTTTGTTAAACATAGTACCAAAAACAGACACTAAATTACGACATACAAACCACATGGCGACAAAAAAAAATCATTAACAAAATAATATATTTCACAACTTTGGATGGTCCAATACTATCATATACAGTATACTTGTGTGACAAAAAAATACTGGAGGAAGAATATTCAAAATGGCTGAAAGAATTTTTGTTCAAAATAAATGTTATGATAACAATTTCATAAATATATGACTTCATAAATTCTCCAGAAATTAGATTCTTAGCAATGTCATTTCACTACAAGCAGGCATTTTGACAAATACTCCAAACCAGGTACACATAGTACACATAGAGCATTTATGCTTATACTTGCATACACAATGACATTTATGCTCAACTTTACATATTTCCATTAGCCACAAGAAATGCAGGGAGAAGCATTTTCTTTCATTATGTCTCTGTGACATAGAATACCTGCATTGTAACTCAAGGATTTTAATTTTCCAATATTATTATTACACTCAGATTAAGTATAAGAAAACACTTGCAAAAAAAAGTAAAACAAGGGAATATAATATATATTCAATTTTATACTATATATATATATATATATATATATATATATATATATATATATATATATATATATATATATATATATATATATATATATATATGAATGAGGAAAACACTCTACGGTGTTGATACTATGGTAGAAAAACCCACAATGTAAAAAACTAGATTTATTGAAAATGAAAGTGAGACTACAGTTTCGGAATCCACCTGGATTCCATCCTCAGGTCTTTCATTTTCAATAAATCTAGTTTTTTACATTGTGGGTTTTTCTACATATATATATATATATATATATATATATATATATATATATATATATATATATATATATATATATATATATATATATATATATATATATATATATATATGTATATATACATATATATATATATATATATATATATATATATATATATATATATATATATATATATATATATATATATATATATATATATATATATAAAATTTCATACTCTCAATTTATTTGCATTTAAGGTTTTGTTATCCTGTTAACATTAGAACCAAGCTTCACTGAGTGAATATAGATGTTTTCTATAAAGCATGGGAATACAAATTAGATTCTTTGAGTATATATCCATGCAGATGTGTATATACGACCAGCAGCAGGTTTCCATCTTACTAATGTAGCAGAAGCTGAAGTTAACAACAAAAAAAAAATCTTCACAATTACATGGATATAATTGGAAAATAATCAAAATGTCTTATGTAATCAAGTTCATCTAGCAATCTTCTTATTAATTAATAATTTTGGATCTTAGGCAAATTATTTACAGATCAATCCAAATGACTTACATATTAATAAACACGTTTGCACATACAAGTTCAGATCTCTGATGATTTCATTATTATATTCATTAACAATATAGGAAATAGCACCTTCAGATTTCAAAACATAGTAAACTGAACCAACAAAGTCACATTATTAGTTTCAGTAAAATACAACACAATTCATGTGATTAACATAACTAAAAAAAATTAACCTTTAAAACAAATCATATTAAAAATGCCAGTTAGTTTTCTGTAATTCAACTACTATTTCATATGCGAACAGCAAGCAATGGATCTTTTCTGAATCTGTCTTGTGTATATTTGCCTATACACATTTATATGTGAATGTCCTTCACTCTGTTTGAGCACATCCATGCAAATAGGAGTGGGTGAGTGTGTATGGGAAGGTGGGATGTTTTCACTACTTTTGCTTCTGTTTGTGATGATAGGGAGACAGGCAGATAAAATACACACAGTAAGGGTATAGATGAATATCAAGATAAATGGATAGATATCCTGGTAAAGTGACAGCAGAAGATACATTTGCAAGTAGCTTAAGACATTAATATATGTGTATATATGCATATGCACATTTATACATGTATGTCCACTATATGAAGTGATACTAGAGAATAAGCAAGTGAAAGAATGGAATGGGAGGTATAGCAAGTTGGGGAGAAAGGAGTAGGAGAGAAAAAAGGGGCAGGGAAAACAAAAAGAAGAGGAAGAGAGGAGGAGGAGGAGGAGGAGGAGGAGGAGGAGGAGGAGGAGGAGGAGGAGGAGGAGGAGGAGGAGGAGGAGGAGGAGGAGGAGGAGGAGGAGGAGGAGGAGGAGCAACAAGAGGGAAGAGAGGAAGAGAGGGAGAGAGAGAGAGAGAGAGAGAGAGAGAGAGAGAGAGAGAGAGAGAGAGAGAGAGAGAGAGAGAGAGAGAGAGAGAGAGAGAGAGAGAGAGAGAGAGAGGGAGCAAAAATGACAGGCAGATTAATAAAATATACAGGAAGCAAACAGTTGAATATCAAGTCAGTGGGTGTGTGTGTTGTGTGTTGTTGTGTTGTGTTGTGTTGTGTGTTGTGTGTTGTGTGTTGTGTGTTGTGTGTTGTGTGTTGTGTGTTGTGTGTTGTGTGTTTTGTGTTTTGTGTTTTGTGTTTTGTGTTTTGTGTTTTGTGTTTTGTGTTTTGTGTTTTGTGTTGTGTGTTGTGTGTTGTGTGTTGTGTGTTGTGTGTTGTGTGTTTTGTGTTTTGTGTTTTGTGTTTTGTGTTGTGTGTTGTGTGTTGTGTGTTGTGTGTTGTGTGTTGTGTGTTGTGTGTTTTGTGTTTTGTGTTGTGTGTTGTGTGTTTTGTGTTGTGTGTTTTGAGTTGTATTTTTTTTTTGGTGTGTGTGTGTGTGTGTGTGTGTGTGTGTGTGTGTGTGTGTGTGTGTGTGTGTGTGTGTGTGTGTGTGTGTGTGTGTGTGTGTGTGTGTGTGTGTGTGTGTGTATACAGATGTATAGAGAATGTCAGCAGGAGATAACTAAGCAAATATCTGTTTATATAGAATGGATAAAGATATGCTGACAGGTTAACATGTCTGTTGTCTGTCAGTTGTTTCCAACTCATTGAGTGTGTGTGTGTTTGTGTTAGATGCATCTGTATATAAACAGACAAACACATTCACACACAGAAGCATTCTAATGCACATGGACTATACACATTCAAACACAAAGGCAAATTGATATGGCAATATAATGTTGCTGTTGTTTATACTTGTGGTCATTTGTGATCCAGCAGTGCAAAACAGTACCATTATCTATATATTCATAACAAAACAATAAATGAAACAATACACATATTCAGTTCTCAGAATTAGAGTATCTCTGCAACAGCTGAGTGTGGCAAGTATCACAGACTCTCACTGGTCGAGCGGAAGAGGGCAGGGGCATGGTATTATCACTACAGCTATGGCAAAATATGTTCCCACAGTGCCGACAGTGGTGTCTGCGTCGGGATATGCTAAACTCTTTCTCACAGAGACGGCAGTGGGAAGCCTCTTTGTCCGGGGCCCACTGAGCATCACGCAATGATTTACTAACATCACGTAGGTCTGCCATCTTGAGCTTTGATTCTGACAAATGAGCACCAAGTTCTTCAAGTGTTCTCTCTTGATTTTCTACTGTCGATATCAGCTGGATGTGTGCTCCCTTCAGAACCTCATATTCCTGATAAATAATTATTCTTGGTTAGTGTTAATTAACAACTCACTACATTGCTAATAATCAAGAATTTTTCATCAATAATAACTAGAGTACTATAGAGGTTTAACTGAGGAAATGTTTTTATTGGATTGACTTATTGGATTGTGTTAAGCTAGTATAATATATGCAAGCAGAAAAGCAGTACTATTATCTGTTTAGTTTCTGAATAAGGACAAGTTCAACCTATCACAGGTACTAATGTATATTAAAATTTAAATGCATAATTTTTTTTCCAAAATTTCCTAACTGCCCAGGATTTGTTTTGCCCCTGTATTTTTTTTGTGAATTTTGTTACATACAGATGGCTCCACATGTGCTCAGCCACCAAGGAGTCTATCAGTAAACCCTAGTTACTGATCCAGATTTCCCCATTCCTTGAATTGGTGGGAAACTGTATTTTTCTTTTATATTCAATTGATATTGATACTGTTATTACTGTTATTGATGTTATAATTATGAAATTGTTATTAAAATCTTGGTAACATTTAAGACAATAAAATAATGCAAAAGACCCTTTCCAAAAGTCAAGGAAAAGGGTAAACAAGTGAGACTCCTTGGTGACTAAGCACTTGTAGAGTCATCTATGAATAAATACTATAAATAAACATATTACAGGGGGCATGGCATGTATTCTTGCCATATGGGGCAATTGGGTTAAAATCTATAAACAGAAAGCAAACAATTACTTTTACCATCAATAGTGTTTACCCAGAAATCGATTCATATTTACATATAGGAAGATCCAAAAGACAATAATAATGGGTCTCCATTGCTTTTAGTAGGACTTTTGGTTGTATGGGAACAATTGATCAATAAGTACATTGGGGTAGATTCTGCTCCCCTTCTCCCCCAGTAACTAATTTCAATGCAAGACATGTCAGGGGATGGGGCTTTATAAAACATATCCATAGCAATTAAACTATAATAATACATCTCACTGCATATAATTCAAAGATATCTTGAGTGTCAAAAAATTGAAAAAATATTTTCATATCAGTCCAATAATCCAATAGTAATAAACAGCATGACTTAACTAACATCTTCCTTCTTCTGCAACTCAGCTATCTGCCTCTGGAATTGAGCCAAGGATTCTCGGTCTTTCATCAGGGTCTCTTGTAAGGACTGACGCCATTCCCGTTCAATTTTAAGGTCAGTTTCTAAGGTGGACGAATGGATCTCACCATCTGATATCTGAAATATAAATCAAAATGTATTGTTATGTTCCTCTTAACCATATGCCACCAGGGATTTTGTGTGTGTGTGTGTGTGTGTGTGTGTGTGTGTGTGTGTGTGTGTGTGTGTGTGTGTGTGTGTGTGTGTGTGTGTGTGTGTGTGTGTGTGTGTGTGTGTGAGAAATGTCTCTGCACATAGATGGCTCTACTAGTGTTTATCATCATCACAATTTACAGCACTTTCAGTACCTGTATACAGGTTTGCTATTAATCCAATAATCCTTGTTCGAATTCCTCTTAGTCTCAGGATCTCCCAGAATAATTTGCAACGCACGGTATCAAACGCCTTCTTGAGGTCGATGTAAGCTGTGAGCAGCCCACATCTGAACTCACGACAGTGCTCTACAATGACTCGAAGAGCCAGGATACAGTCTATTGTGGACTTACCAGATCTGGCCTGTAGTGCCTCAGCAGGTGGTCTCTGATATGTCTCAGTAGTACTTTGCCTGGTATACTGAGTAGTGTAATGCCTTGGTGATTGCTGCAGTTCTACCAATCCCCTTTCCCCTACCAGAGAGGGATGACCACACCCCTCAGCAGGTCAGGGGGAATGGTACCAGTTTGCCAGATGGCAGACAGGACAGCAT